CAGGGAGGAGGAAGCCCAACCAGCAGGCAGGTGACAGAGGGGGTTCAGGGCATGGAAAGGTCCAAGGAGCAAGTTGGATCACAGGCTGGAGGACCTTGGGAGCTTCTGCCTACTGATAAGAAAAGTGGTCTGCCAGGGAATGCCATCTCCTGAGCCTGTGACAGCGTCCAAACATTTCATTCTTGCAACTGCAGCAGAGATGAAGAGATGACACTTGCTCCAACTCGGCTGTACCTGGGCTCAGCCGTAGCTTCCCTGAGATTCTTTGCACTCTAACTCAAGCTTGACCGTTTCTTTTATGCCTTCCTTCTTGGAGGAAATGGATCAGAGGCCCCTAAGGTCATCAAAGAGGGACTTTGGCTCAGATAATTTTATACTTTATTACAGAGGAGCTCTGTAGCCACAGTGGAAGAGAAGGGACACACTAATTCAACCAGCATTCACTGACACTGTACTAGGAGCCATGGGAAATAAAGAGTGACCCACCATGTCAGGGTCAGGAATAGGTGAGGAGGATGGTCTGTTGACAACAGAACCCAAGAGACAGGCTGAGGGCTAGAGAGACTTGGTGAGTTATGTTCAAACACCCAAGTAGAATCTTCTTATTTGGGACTGTGGATTGAATCCAGGGATGGCTTACCATTGAGCTATACCCCACTCCTTTTTTGAAACAGGGTCTCTCTAAGTTGGCTAAATTTCTGAGGCTGGCTTCAAAATTGTGATCCTCCTGCCTCAGCCGCTAAAGTCACTGGGATTATAGGCCTACCCCACCACTCCCAACGCAAGTAGCATGTTCTTGAGTTCCCTGTCATGAGCCACTGGTGAATTCAGACATCAATTTCAGTGATTCTCTACCTGAGGTTTCCAACAAAGCCAATGAGATGCTTACTAATGGGCATGCTGAAGTTACTTCAGCGTTTTAAAAGCCAAGTAGAAACCACACATTTAACTACCACAAACAGAACGAAGATGAAGTATTTTTCTTTGGGAATGGTATAGGGCAACTCTGTGTGGCATTTCTTGTTGCTCAGAAGCTTAATTGGCAGTTCTGAGCCTCTAATAACAATGGAAGGTAGTACTCAAAAATGATATTTCTTTGACAGTATCTTTTAAACTATAGTAGCCAGGCAGTAAACTAATAAAAGGAAGGAGCGAAAAAGTTAGAAAAACAATGATCTGCATGTATTTTTTGTTTGTTTGTTTGTTTGGGTACAAGGATTGGACTCAGGGGCACTCAACCACTGAGCCACATCCCCAGCACTTTTTTGTATTTTATTTAGAGACAGGGTCTCACTGAGTTGCTTAATTAAGGCCATGCTAAGCTACTGAGGCTAGCTTTGAACTCATGATCCTCCTGCCTCAGCCTCCCAAACTGCTGGGATTAGAGGTGCGCACCACCACGCCCAAATGCGTGTATGTTTTTTTTTTCTTTTTTTGCATAGACTGTTTATTTGAGCCAACATTATAGCTAACATCCACAGGTGAGCTGTCTAGTGGTGTCTTAAACAGAAAATATGTGCATCAGATAAGTTTTGTTCAGGCATAAGTAGTGCTATGGACTGTGGGCTCAGTGGCATCTGTCAACAATATCTATCAAATAAGGCATCTTTAAACAGAAACACACATAAAACAAGGGTATATGTAGACTGGTGGACAAAAACCTTGTGAACAAGAGACTTGCAGAAAACTGGCCCTTGTGTTTCTCCTAGAAGCAATAAGTCAGTATTTGCTAACTTAGCGTTCAAAGCAACTTTACAGAACACAACTTTGCAAATAGTGAGAATCGACAGTGAACTGGGTATTTGTGGAGTTAGACAAAGGTTCCAGGCACTTGGGAGGTGGAGTTGAGCATCCTCCAGAGTTTGGCAACTGCTAGCCCTTTATATAAAGCCCCTCAAACTATGAGGGACCTCTGCAGACACTGATAAAGATGCTCTTCATTGTTTTTTTGTGTGTGTTTTTTGTTTTGGTATTGGGGATCTAACCCATGGGTACTTTACCACTGAGTCACATCCCCAGTTCTTTTTAGTTTTTATTTTGAGACGTGGTCTTGCTAAGTCACTTAGGGCCTCACTAAGTTCCTGAGGCTGGCCTTGAACTTGTGATCCTCCTGCCTCAGCCTCTCAAGCTACTGAGATTATAGGAGTGTGCCTCTACACCTGGCCTATTGTTTCTTTTTTAAAGATGCTCTTCTTCTATAAGAGTGTTGAGGATGAGGCCCCTGGTTCTGATGATGGGATTTATCTGGGTGAATTTCTGCCTGGAATTTCCAGTGCTAGAACTCTGCTTTGACTTGGTCAGTTCCTTTCTCCCTCCCTGCCTCTTCTCTTTTTAGATGTCAAATGCTCTTTGCCTAGACATCCAGGTGTAACCTGCTCCTGACTTTTAGTCCCTGCAGCTGATTCTGTCACTCTTTGCCCCTCCTTCTATGCTACCAAGCAGGTCTAACAGCAGCTTCTGACCCTCTCAAGCTGCCCCAGCCTGCCACATGGGCAGGATCAGAGCACAGTAGTGGCAAGAAACAGAAACTTAAAGGAAAGACATGGAAATGAAGACAGGCTCCTCGGGAAGCGAAGCTGGTATTACAGGGGTCATAAAGGTTTCCCCTTGGCCTCCCCTCTCTGTCTCTCTGCATGGCTCATTCTCTCTGTCCATCCTCCCACAAGGCCCCTCCCATTCCTTCCCGTTTCTCTCCTGGTCTGCACCAGTCTCCTTTCTCTTGGCTGTCTTGCTCGGCTTCCTCTGGCCAGTCTCTCCTCTCCAATTGACTTGCTTATGACTTAGGTTTTCCTGGCTTTAGTTCTGACTCCCATTTTCCAGGGCCTCTATTTCAAGGGCCCACTGTCAAATACTCTTATTAGCTTGTGTTCGCAAGAGAATCTGCTTTTTGTTTTGGTTTTGGTTTTGGTACTGGGAATTGAACACAGGTGACTTACCACTAAGCCACAGCCCCAGATCCTGTCTTTTTTTTGTTTTTTTGACAGGGCCTCACTATGTTGCTGAGGCTGGCCTTGAGCGTGCAATCCTCCTTCTTCAGCCTCACAAACTGCTGGGATAATCTATGTGTACCAACATGCCCAGCAATAAGAGAGACTCTGATTGGCTTTGTTCACCCGGCTCGTAAAATCTTGGAAGTCAGGTGCTCTGGTCCAACCAGATGCAGCTGGAAGGGAGGGAAGGTCACAGGATAGCCATTTTGACCTTCAGAGGGACAGTGGGCAGAACTTAGTTCCCAGGAAAGGGCCAGAACCCCAAAATAGGCTATTGATAGTAATTTCATAGCTAAGGTCATACTCTGAAATATGAGGCAACCCTCTGGTGGGCATGAGGGGTCCTTATTTAATATTGCATGTTGTTCATTGTCAGAGCAAGAGAATAGGAAAGTCGTTTATGAAACCTGACTTTGGGGTTTAGGACTCTATCCCAGGGACAACGTTTCAGTCCTTAAGCCAAATCCCTCCTCTCCTCTCTGAACTTCCTCCCATATTTCATCAGCATTTCAAGAAGTATGACAAGATTGGCAACCAAGGACAACCATCTCCTTCAAGCCAAGGGTCACCCAGGAAGCGATTTCAGAGCTCCTGCTGCACAGAGGACCTGTCTGGAGAGAGGAGAAATGAGTCTGAGCTGGTCACCAGGGAGGAAAGACAATCAAAAGGGGTTTCCTAGTTAAGGCAGGTGAACCTCAAAGCAGCAGGGATTAGGGATGGTCTGGACCCAAGGTGGGGAGGAATGGGTTATGTTTGGAGGCCAGTTGCATTGATGATAAGAAAGGAAACTTCTCTGCTCTCCTTCCTATGCTTCTGCAAACTGTCTGTGGGGAGAACAGAACTTCTCCCAGCCTCCCTCTGCAGCTGAAGGAGTGATGGGGAAACATTCAGGCTCCCCTGTCCAGCTCTCTTTTCACAGGAGGCACCTGCCAGAGCGTAATGGTCATAGCACATAAAAGGCTCATGATCACTGAGCCTTTTTTCACTTCCTGCCCTCCACCTGGCTATGGGCTGGGGTGGCCTAGCTAGTTTACTGGCCTGGTGTTGGAGGGACAGTCTGGCTCACTGTTTTGCCTTACTCTGTTTTCTCCAGTGAACATGCTTCACCAGGCATTTCTTGACATTGTATCCTTAAGTTCTGGGGATAGAATAGGCAGAGATTTCTGGAAAAGGAAGAGCAGTTGCCACTTTAACCTGGAGCCTAAGCCATCTTCTCCAACTCTACTTTTTGGGGTTATCTGGTATTGCTCAAGGCCCTGGTTTGGGGTATCCAGTATTATGCCCAGAGACTTTTTATTGAAGTCAGCTTTTTTGCTGCTATGATTAAAAGATCTAACCAGAAGTATTTTAGGAGGCAAAGTTTATTTTAGAGCTCACAATTTCAGAGGTCTTAGTCCATAGAAGGCTGGCTCCATTCCTTGGGGCTCGAGGTGAGGTGGAACATCATGGCAGAACAGTGTGGCAGTGGGAAGCAGCTCACATGATGATCAGGAAGCAGAGAAAGAACGCTGCCTCCACTTGCCAGATACAAATATATACCCCAGAGCCACGCCCCAGTTCCCACGTTCTCAGCCACACCCCACCTCTTCTGTTACCATTCAGCTAATCCCTATCAGGGGATTAAATCACTGATTAGGTTAAGACTCTTATAACGCAATCATTTCTCCTCTGAACCTTCTTGCATTGTCTCACACGTGAGCTTTTGGGGGACACCTCACATCCAAACCATAGCACTCTAAAAGCTACACTTGGTTTCATTATTGGCTAGTGATCCTTGGGCTGCCATTTCCATCCATCAGAACCTCAAGGGAGAGGAGGCATTTGCTCCAGGATGCGGAGGAGACCCAGAATCCAAATGTACAATACCTGTGGGAGGGAACTCGGAATCTATTTCACCAATGGTTTTATCTGTCATGTTCCCTAAATTATCACAAATGAAGAGGCTGGCTACCTTAGAGACTACTGACTTGTTATTCCTTGGTGGAGGAATGAAAAAATGAAGAGAGGCACTGGGATTCAAATGTTTTGTATTTGCGTGTAAAATTTTATGTAATGCCTGTCAGCTTCATCATCTCTGCATTCACCCTACCCGTTTCCTGGGGAGCAAGGTGAAGAATCGAGGAGGACTCCCCTTGAAGGCAGTGAGTGGATGGCTTTAGAGCCCCTGGTGAACATTTTTCTTTCCTGGGGGAAAAAGAAAAGCAGGGCTCTGAGAACCTGAAGACAGTCGAGCATTAGGCCACACCCACCACTGGAGCCTGAGCCCTGCCAAGAGGTCCTGATTCCCAGTGGTCTTTCAGGAAGGTAGAGTCAGCCCTGCCTTTTGTGTTCAGTGGTGACATACAGCCCAGCTAGGACTTACCTGACTGGTTAGTAGATCCATCCTTTGCTCATCCACAGGCCTAAACCAAGTTTTCCCCCAATGAGCCCTTTAAAAATATTGCATGGGTAAGTATATACTCACTACATAGAAGGTGAATTTAGGCCAAAAGAAAAAAACACCAGAAATCCCACCCTGCTGAAGGGCTATTGTCAACACTTTGTGGGGGTTGAGGGGTGCTTGGGATTGAAACCAGGACCTCATACATGCAAGGCGAGACTGTACCAACTGAGCTATATCCCCAGCCCCTATTGTCAATATTTTTGACAGATATCCTTTCAGACTGTTTTCATGCACATGTGATGTTTGCTTACAAATAAATAAATACTATTAAGCAATGCTATTTTGCCACTTAAAATCAAACACTATATTGTGACTATATGTCCATGTGATACATTTGTGTCCACAGCATCATTCCGGATGGCCACACGCTACCCTAAGGGAAGGCCGCACCCTCGTTTATTAACTAACCACATCAGTGGGTGTTGAGGTTTCTCCCAGGGTTCTGATGCTGTCATAATCACTTTTGAATGCTATTTAAATATTACCTACATTTCTAGAAATGCAACTGCTGGGACAAAGCATATATGGTTATTTAAGGGTTTTGTTGTATTATTGTTGCCAAATTACCCCCCTGCCGAGTTTACCAATTCATACTTCTATGGCAGAGTAGGAAAAGGCTGCTTCCCACACCCAGGGACTGTGTTTGGCTTCATTTCTGCCCCCGCATAGCAGTGGTTGATGATTCACATGTACAGGAGGAGGTAAGTGTGGACAGGGAAATCAGCTCGTCTCTAGCAAGTCATGGCTCTCCCCTGGGTCCAAGTCTCCCTCGTAATACTAACTAGTGAGTCCTCCAGCATCGTGGGCCATGAATAGACATAGCTTGGTCCAGTCTTGAAGGTCAGGCTTCTAACGGTGATCAAGGTCAAGCCACTTGCCCCATCTTCCATTCAGATTGCATCCTATCTCCCTCCCTGATTCTCTGGCCAATGTCCTGGTGTCCTCTGGGGTAAGTCAAGGCTGACCAGCCTGAAGCAGGAAGCATTCAGAAAGAGAGATTACTAGCACATGAAACTTAGCTGCCTCCCTAGAGAGCTGAGAGTCCATAAACATGCTTATGGCTTTCTCTTTAGGTCCCAGCTGGGTTTTTTGTGGTAGATTTATTGAAAGTTTGGAGCTTCCCTGTCTTTAAGTATGAGAAGAAAAAAAAACTTGTTAAATCACCCAGCAAGCCCCAGAGCTAATCCGAGACCACAGAACCTGGAAAAAACAGAACAAGGTAGAGAAGCAAATGCCTCCCCCCAAGTCCGTTGATCTATTTCTCCCTTTATGCTGCTCTTTCTTATCTAGCACCAAAAAAAACCAGTGTCACCCTCCAGCTAGTGAGGAGGAGCACTTTCCCACCAATCTACGTGGTGTTGTCTGCACAAACTTGAGCCTCCACTGAAAAGGCAGCTGAGTTATGGGGAATGGATTTCAGCCTCCTTCCAGTCTCCGGAGGCTCTCCATCCACTCCTGTTTGGCTCCTCATTCATTCACCCCTCCCCCTTTTGCCGGATCTGATTATTCTTAGATATAATGCATCTTTTTGCTCATTTATGTTCCACCAACCATTCGTTTGATAACAGCCACTCCTGTACTCTGTAGCAGGAGACGTGAAGGTGCTCATTATAGAGCCTTCTCTGCCACTGGGGGGTCTTGCCTGCCTCTGGGATGGGGGATGAATCAGTAAAAAGAGAAAAATATGATCAAAAGGTCTAGAGTCTCACCAAGGTAAGGAAGGGGCAGCTTCCCTGGTTCTTTTTCTCCTGGTATTAGGAAAGTGCTGTCACCGTTAACAGCACGTTCAGGTCTCCGTTCTCCTCTAGGCTAATGCAGTGGAAGGTACACAGAGGGGGCTGCCTGGTCGACAGAACCCGTGGCAAACACTTCACCTAGGACATGATGGCCGAGAACGTTCCCAGAGCACCAGGACGGGGTTCAGTGTAGTTTAAATGAGATTTGCTCAACTCCAGAGCTGGGTGGGATTGAAAGATTATTCTTGTTCAACTGTCTCATTTCATCTCATCTCTTCCCTTTTCCTCCCTCCCTCCCTCCCTTCTTCCCCGCCTTCCTTTCTTTTTGTTTATTTTTTTCTTCATTGCCATCCAGGGAAATGGATGGAGAGGCAAAGAGAATTTTCAGTCTTGAATGCAAGAACCAGGAGCTTGAGGACTTGCCACATGGGGTTAAACAAGTCACTTAGCATCTCTAGTTTGGGTTTCCAAATGTGTAAGATAATGTGTGTCAAAACAGATGATCACTAACCTAGCTTAGGAAGTCAAACTCTGGAACTCCAGAAATGTGCAGCATTATCACTTCCATTTTATAAGTGGGGAAACTGAGGGAAGCAGATGGGTGGATGAGGTGCTGAGACCAGTCAGTCTATGTTCTCAAATTGGCCTATTGGCTCAGAGCTCAGGGAAAATATGGCATCGCCCAGAGCCTGGTGCTGTAACGATTCTTCTCCCATCTTGGCACACAGGGAAATTCAACACTCCTTCTCTGGGCTTCCTCCGAGTACCATAAAACCCCACCCACCCCTGTTACTTCTCAGGTTACATGGAATTGGCAACTGGACAATGGTTCAGACTCTCCTATTTCTCAACCAATCATTTATTTCCTTACATCATTCTTAAATGTCCTGAAATCTGCTATTGCTAATGCCTGGTGCCCAGGGCAGATGGCCCTTTCTTGTTTCCCACTGCAGATGCTTCTATGCCAACCCCATTACTTTCCCTCAAACCTTATTCTACTTCTCTCCACCACTGCAAAGCCATCCAGATCCCTGGCTTTGCAGATCAGTCTGTCTGTCCCTCCTTCCCTCCCTCCCTCCATCCATCCGTGCATTTGTTTGGTAGTTCCACAGTAGAAGGTCTGTTTCGTCTGCTCAGGAGTTTGTTCCACATTTGGGGTTTTAGGGACATAAGGTTGTATTCAGCAGTCAATTAGGGCCATTCTTACCTCTTCTCAGAAAAGCAAAACTGAACTCTCCTGTCAATAGCAGCCAGGGAAAACCAACTTAGGAAAATCAAATCCCAAATTTACCAAACAGATCCATTAGAAACTGAAGATTAAACTCACAGAAAGACTCTGCTTCACCAAAGGCTTTTCTGGGCCTTTTATTGATGCATTTAAGAGTTGGTTTGTACCCTTCAAAACCAATTATTGGGCAGCAAACAGAAACCTTAGTAGCAAGCTGGGGATGTGGCAGAGTGCTCATCTAGCCTGGACAAGGCCCTGGGTTAAATGCTCATAATGCAAACAAAAAAACAAACCGCAGATTCTATCTTATTCCACAAACCTGGAGCAGGATCATCTGGAGAACTGTGCGGGTTTCTGCTCCTCAGGCCAAGTGGGCAGTCAGCTCTATTGAAGGGCTGATTCTGTTGGGCGGCATTTGGGACGTTACCTCTCTTCCTTCACAAGCAACTCAAGAGAAATCCACAGAAATCCAGCTCACTCACAAGGAGGGTGGGGGAGAGGAGGACAGGCAGAGACCCGCAGCTCTATTGTCAGGAGCCCAGTCATTACTTAGATGTCAGTCTGAGTCATCATGGAAACGGGACTCCATTGCCAAACTTTCCATTGTTTGCTGGAATTCAGGAACTTGTGTCCGGTGGGCCCATGACAACCTGTCTCCTTCTCCCCTTCCATGTATTTGATCCCTGTCACCATTACCCTAAGGGAGGGGCAAGGAAAACATGCCAACTGAGTTGGAGAAGAAGGCGAGGAGGCCCCAGGTGGGGCCCTGATGGCATGTGGCTCCCTGAATGCAAGGAGTGAGGGGCCAACCTCATGCTGAGGTCTCTAGCCTTTGGAGCCTTTGTGGTCCAGATTTTAATGGCGGTTGGGGTTTGGGCAGCTCTTTGCTTAGGAGATACCAACAAGGCTCTGCCAATCCATAATATCGAATTCTTACCCTGAAGAAAGTGGCCAGCCCATGGTGGGATTCAGAATACTCGGTCCCTCCTTGGGCCACAATGTTCTTGACACCTGTGCCCCACCTGAGCTTTCCTCCCACCTCCACCCTCCTCACTCAGGCCCTTCTCGTCTACCCAGCTCAGCTCGCCTCAAGGCAAGGAGGCGCTGAGAAGTCCACATCAGGACCTTCATCTGCCTCCTTCAGGAGGACATCACTGATTATTTCAACCCCAAGGGACTTCAGCATTTCATAGGGTAGCCCTGATGGGCCCTTCACCTGTGTTCTGAGTGTTTCTCTCAGATCCACCTAGAGGCCCTCAGCTCTGTGTCACTTGTGTCCTCAACACGTAGCACAGTCCAAGTTGGCATCCTCTGCGCCTAGGGACATGCAGAGCTTCTCTCGTGCCTGAGGGGCATCTCAGCTGGCAGCTGCCAACTCCTTAGGATCAGGACCTTTGGCCTTTTCTTCTTTGTGTCTCTTGCATTTAGCACAGGGCCTGGCACATGGGTTTTTAATTCATGAAAATTCTAGGATACAGACCAGGGTCAGATAAAGAGTAAAAGTAGGGGGAGCTACAAAATTAAAAGACTCTTTTAGAATCTTAGAAGGGGTTATTTCCAGAATTCACTAGAATAGTAGTTTTCAAAGGGTGTTTTAGAGACTGTTGGGAGGTTCCCAAGACCCTTTCAGGGGGCCCTGAGGTCAAAATTATTTTCATAATACTCCTACGATATCATTTGCCTTTTCACGCGCATTCTCTCAGGAATACACATGGCCTTTTCCAGACGCTACTCAATGTGCGATCTCACAAAAGACCCACTGCAGAAGCAGATACCC